CCCCCCCCCCCTTGTGGGCCCAGCGGTCACCGCTGGCACATGGGCTGGCTCTGATACCAACTGGTGCAGACCCTAGTAAGATATTGTCCGCTTTGGGCTACTTCCGCCACCCACACGGCTTTATTCTTGGCTGGGCTTCAATACACACCCACCGAAACGCGTCTTACTAGTGAAGGTATCCACATCCTCATATAAGGCCTGCTTCGTTTCCTTTCAAACCCGATGTGGGATGCGCTGCATCATCCACCCCCCCTTGTGGGCCCAGCGGTCACCGCTGGCACATGGGCTGGCTCTGATACCAACTGATGCAGGTCCTAGTATCAGTTGGTATCAGCAGTCAGTACGATCGCGATGTCGCCGGGACGAGAAGATGCCGTAAACAAACAACGTGATGCAACCTTCAACGATCGGTTTCAACAGATTGATTACCGATTTCAAGAGTTGGACGTGCGTTTCACGAACTTGTTTGCCGATCTTTCGACGGGGATCGAGGATTTATGTTTGACGCCAAACAACGTGATTGTTACGGAATTGCAAAAGGACCGCGATGGAGGTCGTGACTATCGCGGGGGAAACAGAGGCGGACGTGGAGGACTCGGCCATGTTGGGGCGCCCCAACAGCGGTCCCCGCCACCTCTGGACGGCTTCGTGGACGGAGACGATCAACGCAACGACATGGGCTGGCGCAAAGAGGCAGCCTGCGCTAGCGGATATCGTGCCCGACACGATTGGAGACTTGAATGTGATTGGGGACTTGATCGCGAATATGGTCATTGGGAGGGCCCGTTTCGCGTCGACATCCCCGAATTCGAAGGAGAGCATGTTGATGGGCCATTGTACGACGGTCCGTCCATTTTTGATGAGGAGCCTCCGGTGGCGGAGACACATATTTGCGGCGATATGGGCCCTGCGTGGATCGTCGCAGAGGTTGAACATTCAAATAGAAAACCGTCGGTCGGACCCAATTTTCAGAGTATCTTGGCCGTGGATGGTTTTTCAGAGGCGAGGCCGGGACTCAAAAACTGCTGGGACATTTTTCGACTGTTTGTTTTTAAATCTTCCAACAACGGAATGCTTAGCCGTAATTGTGGATTTGAGAGCGGCAAACGACATGGTATTTATGGTGTTAATTTCGCTGGGTTGTCCTTTGTTGCAGTTACGTCATTTCCCAATATTATGATTACCATTGGAGCTATTGGGCAACCTTCCACTTTCGTGTTCGACAGGGGGAAACGATGAGCAATGGATTCCATGGGTACGACTCCGGTGTCGGCGCGTCTTGCACGGCTTCGAGGGCAAAGCCTTCCGAACCAGGGGAGAATGATGCGGATAAGGCCTTAATTATTATTATTATTATTATTATTATTATTATTATTATTATTAGGTATCTTAGTGAATAAGTTAGGAATTAAATATTATTAGAGATCTTGTCTTGTTAGACAAGTTAAGAATAGGGTTTTGGAGTCTTATTTAAAGGGCTCATCATATATTGTTTTAATAAGTTGAATATGAAATAAAAATTGATTGAGTTTTGTGAGTTTTACGTGTTTTACGAGAGAGTATCTCGTTTACTCGTTTTATCATTTCTCATTCGTACGCTTTCCCTACATCAGAAAGTATAAGAAATTATGAATATATAAAATGATACACTGACACATAAAACATGTAAAATTTCATGGCCCATCCTATGAAAAAACACAAAATGAAAATTTAATTGAGTAAATGCCATGCATTCAATACTTGATAATGTATTGATAAATGATAAGTCTGCCCAGATGCTATGGAATAGCATAGAACATAAGCTGTACTCAAAGTCACAATGGATAACACCATCATATGAAAAAAAAAAAA